AGTTCTGTTTGTGACGATATATATATATATATATAAACAGTTTGTCACAGCCCCTCGTTTGTTGTCCTCTTCTCTCTCTCTGCCTACGGTTTACCGGGCAGTTCTGTTTGTGACGATATGTATACAACATATATATCAGCCTCCTGATGAGTCGGTGAAACTCCGACGAAACAGTTTGTCACAGCCCCTCGTTTGTTGTCCTCTTCTCTCTCTCTGCCTACGGTCTGCCCGGGGACCTCCGTACGTACGGGCTGGTGACCCTGTATATATGATAATGGCTGGGTTAAACGATTTTCCAGTGGATCTAGCAGTTACATCTTGATGGTCAAGGTTGCGAATTGCCTACAGCCATAGGTTGGCCTAGGACACTGTCAAACATGCAGTGGTCAATGCAGGGGCGGGTGAGGAAGGCGAAGAGCACACTGTCGAACAGCATCGTTGGGATAAAAGATCTGGTGACCTGTATTCATGCATTTGGAATACGGATGGATGACTGGAAGGGTGGATACGCAAAGAGTGAAGGTGGGGACATGGATGAGTCAATCGACACATCCAGAGATGGATGAATGGAGGAACCTTTAATGGATGGATGGATGCTCGATCAGACATGTAGGACATGTGTTCTCACCCATGCTTGTTACAGGCTTACAGCAAACCTCAATCCCATCACCAAGATGAGACAGACTGTAGACACTTAGTGGGTCAGTCTACACATCGACTTGAATGTTTCGTGCGTGTCTCATCATAAAATGTCTTCGCTATTTCATTTCACTCGCCTCGTTTTTATGCCTATCATTTGTATGGGCACACTCCATTCCTTTCGCACACTTACACATTCTCATCACACGACTGGATGGTTCACCACATTCATTGGTTCTAGGACGGCGATGTCATAGACTATGCGCCGTCACACAAGCAAAATGTCACTGCTGCACGCACAAAGCTATCCATACACACTCTTGATGCCATCATCACACATACCAGACAGGTGTAGAAGCAGAAATTTCCTTCAAAGAATCGAATCAACAGCGTGAAGCTCAACAAAACCCGAAGAACGTCCGTGAAGCACATGGGTGATGCGTAGGACGGCACCCCTCCCTCCACATCCTGGCAAAACGGCCGACGTGTTTCTGCTGCTACCAGTACAGTGTCTTCAGGGGCTCGCTTGAAATGTGGATGGATGGTCGCGAAGATGGATGAACAAATGGTTGGCCACTGTGTTGGTGGGTGGGTGGGCAGACAGATGGCTGAGAGGCATGGGCATGCTTAGGGAGGGACAGAAGGGCAGGAGGGTGGAATGAAGGGCCAGGGTGGATGTAGGGAGGAGGGATGGAGGGACGGACAGATGGAAGGGAGGGACTGACAGATGGAAGGAAGTGACAGTGGGAAGCAGTGAGGGAGGAACAGGGACAGATGAAAGATGGACAGAGGGTTGGACCGATTGAGAAAGCAAGGAGGAGAGGAATGGACAGGGGTTTGGGGGGCTGAGTAGACAGATGGATGGGAATGGACAGAGGAAGGGAGAGTACGAGGGAGGGCGGAGTGAAGGAGGGTGGGTGGAGGGATGGAATGAAGGGGGGGTAGGGGGTAGGGGGTAGGGAGACAGGTGGGACAGTAGATAAGGAGGGCAGGATGGAGATGGACGGAACAGGTGGAGGGAGGGATAGAGGGGTAGGTGAAGAATAGAGTAAGGGACAAAGGGATGAACAGATGGAGGGATGCAAGGGCGAGGGATGGTTGAATGGATGAATGAAGGAGGAATAGAGGGGCACAGGCACGAACAGGAGGTCTGCAGGAGGGACAGCTAGAGAAATGGATGGATGGAGGGAGGGAGGGATGGGTGGATATATGGAGAGGAGGGACGGAGGGAAGAGAGAGGGACAGAGAATGAGCGACGGAGAGAGATGGATAGAGGGAGGGATGCAGGGACCAAGGGATGGGTGCAAAGAAATGTATGGAGGAATGGGTGGAGGGAGTTCAGGACAGATTGATCGAAAGAGTCAGAGAGGGGCGGGATAGGTAGAGGGCGATGGAGGTATGCATGGATGGAGGCAGGGAGGCTAGATGAATGGGGATACGTGGAGTGAGATAGACAGGGAGGCAATGG